CGCGTGGCCCCCCTACATCGTAGCAGCGTGCAGGACCGGCGGCGGCGGCGGTCTCGCCGGCCGGGCTACCTCTGCGCCCTGCAAACCTGACGCGCCTTGTTGCTTTCAAGGACTTCACTTTATAATTATTTATTTACGAAGAACCTGATCTGATGAGGTGGAGAACCCGGCCATAATCTTATATACTACGTGCGAGCGCCCTCGTATTAGCTTTGCTTGATCTTGCACTATGTATTCACATTACCTAACACTACTAATCGTGTTAATTAGAGTGCTCCAAGATTAGAAGAAACGTGCATGACCATATCCACTGCTCTTTCCAACCTTCTCGCATTCAACAGCGGAACCGCCGGCCGGTAGCTATATGAACCACAAGCAGCTTGGGTGCATATGTAGCGCGACGCTGAAAGAAATCAAGAGATTCACATGCCTGCGCCCACATACTAGCAAGGACAAAAACTTGAACATGAGTAGTAGCTAGTACTAGGTATCATCAATAGCTCAATGATCATCTTTTCATTTTGAAACAGGAGCAAATAAGGTGCCTGTCTGTTTGTCTGCCCGTGTTTGGTTGTGAGCTGGAAAAAAAGCTCATTAAGATGGCTTGGTGATGTTAAACATAGTTGTGTACGTGATCTTCTGTTGTAACAACCGGATATGCACCGTAGTTGAGTATCGGCCAAGGATGTAAACTAGATAGTTCTTGTTATAATCTTGTACGGCACTGTTTAGAGATATACTCCCTCGGTTCCATAATAAATAAGTTTTTGAAAATTTTCAAACAGATTAATGATGTTGGCAAAAAGGCACATTACCTTCATATCATTTCTTTTCCCGGAAGACATGTCTTGAATTTGGTAGCTATCATTTGCAAGCACCCATAATTAGCTTCCGCATTAGGAGACAATATGTTTCATGTTTGTGTAGAGCGTATTTGTTTTGGTACAAATTTTAAACCTTAGAAAGTTATTTATTTTGGAACGGAGGGAGTATATCTCTTGTAACAAACATCTTTGGCTGATCTGATCTAGAGGTAGAGCGTCAGTATATGTGCAAAGGCCAAGTGTGCGGCTCTTCCACACAAGTAACATGTACAATACTGCAAACCCAAGCTAGGGCTCGGTGCTCCCCAAATGCCTCTGAGTTCTTTCATGGTATTCAAAGCCTCTCCAAGGATTGCATCTCATTAGAGCTTTCTTTTATGGCTAGTTCATCCCTCAATATGGCTAGTCCCCTCATCAGTCATGTTGTCTCTGATAAATTGACCATAGCCAATCATGTCGTTTGGAAGGTGCAAGTGAAGGTTGTTGTTTGCGGTGCTCGTCTCCAGGGACACCTCAACGGTGACGCTAAGGCACCACCACATGAGATTACTATCAAACCTGACGGCAAAGACGACAAGGAATCGTTGGTGCCGAACCCGACATGCGAAGCATGGGAAGCTACAGATCAGTAGGTCCTCAGCTACATCCTCTCATCGCTTTCCAAGGAAGTGTTGATCCAAGTCGACCAGCACTACAGCGGCAGATGCATGGCATGAAATCGAGGAGATGTACGCCTCACAGACCCATGCAAGGGCTGTGAATCTTCGTCTGGCTCTCTCTACCACCCAGAACGACACAAGGAGTTGTGCTAAGTACTGAAAGCATCTAGGCCTCTAGTGGGTTTTGTTGATTAATGATCACACAAGATTATTATGACTAACATGTGTTTTGCAGATGCAATTTGAGTTAGGTCACAATAATGGTGATTGTTTGGGCAATAAATGGTTTTCATGCCCCTATCAATGAAAATTATTTCGATTTTCAAAGGATGTAACGACATGATTAAGGATGGACTAGTTCTAAGTATCATTTGGCATTGAGAGACATTTAGAGTAGTTTAGGACTTTGTTTTTCCTTTGGCCGTACTATAAATGGGGTATGAACTAGTAGTTTGACCTAAGTGAGTCTAATGTGTTAGTTGTGGTGCTTGTCAAACTTAGCACTAGGTAACTCAGAGTTAGCCCAAAGATCAATTGAAGTCAAGCTCATTCACAAAAAATTTCGAATTGGAAGTGAATGGAGTATTGCAGAGTACATTGGACGCTGTTGATGCAACATCGAACGATATGGCTTATCGTCTGATGTGACTCAGAGGTGCGTAGCTAGGGTTTGAAGAACCATCGGACGCTAGCGCACTCCTACATATATCGGACGCAACAAGAACACAGTTCACGCGAGGGTTCATTGCTTAGAATGCATCGGACGCTGAACTGTGGCACATTGGATGTTGTGCTGTTATAGTCCGATGTCATCCATAGAGGTTCTAGAGAGGTATTTTTCACATTGGAGGTGTTCGACGGGTAGGCATCGGATGCTAATTTGAAGGTAATGGCTATCTGACAGGTGACGTCATCATAGCCGTTACAGTCACATCGAACGCTGGTTTATCGTTCGATGCCTTTGTGAATTATCGCGTCCGATGGCCACATTTCAGCTGAGAAAAGGCTCCAACGGCTAGTTGCTTGAGTGGGGCGGGTATTTATAATTCTCCATCTCGTCTAAGGAGTCTCTCTTGCTCATTTGTTTAGCCGAAGGAACCACTTGGAGTGCAAGGGGGAGCAAGTGCCTAGTGGAGTGATTGAGATTTGATAATCCAAGATAAAGGACCTCAAAGTGCATAAGGAGTGGTAAGTATGCATCCAACTTTCTCATTAGGCTTGTCATAGTTAAGTGAGAGTTTGTGCTTGTTACTCTTGGAGATCGGCATCACCTAGACGGCTTGATGGTGATTGGGAGCATGGTGATCATCCGGTGGAGCTTGTGGATGATCCAACTCATCTTGTGAGTGGTTGTGGGTGATTCACCGTGTCGGAGTGATGAAGAATCAGCCCGTAGAGAGCACTCGGTCCTTACACGGATCGAGGGGGAGGTACACCCTTGCGCGGGTGCTCCAACGAGGACTAGTGGGGAGTCCTGACGCTCGATACATCGGAAAAAATTGGCTTGCTTCCTCTCATCTCTTTACTTTGAGCAATTACTTTTGTGTAATTACTTTCATGTATTTACATTACTAGAATTGCCATGATAGAGTAGGATTGGAATCTAGGGTGCAAAACTCTTTGTGTGGTAGAATAGAAATCACTTTAGGCACAAGGGGTGAAATGGGCTAAGCGGTATGACTTATTTGTTTCAAGAACATTTAGATTAGCCAAGTACTTTGCCAAGATAAAATCACTTGGCGATGAGATGATGGTGGCAGGGAAGCCTTTGGACGATGAAGAACTGGTGGAATACATTATCACTAGACTTGGCAAAGAATACTCCTCCCTAGCATCAGCACTATGCATAAGGGGGGAGCCCATCTCATCGGCTCTTTAGCCAAACATTGGAACTATTCGAACAAAAAATGACATGTTCCACCTTAAATAACTAATGATCTTTATCCTTGTCAATTGTAGGATCAAATTGACTGGCATGCCAATGAACTCAAAACCGGCTTATCCTGCGGAGCCAAAGCAAATCTCTCAGGCTTGTCGTGTGTCCTGCACGGTCAGATTTTCACGTTGACAAACCCGAGCATACAACGCAAGAGAAGCATTCTCCACTAGATGTAGGGAACCCTATACGCAAACCAGTATATATTATTTATGTCTTGTGTACTACCCTTCTGATTCTCTGCACACAAAATGTTGATTTACTAGTCGGACAGTAAATCATATGATAATCGCCTTCATCGCCGCCATGCCAATTCTAGGCTCCTCTTCTTCTCTAGTCAATGTCTCCGACGCTGGCACCGCCCAACCTCCCACCGTCCGGCGGGCGGCGACTGCCACCACCGCCGTGAGTCCAGTTAGTGACCTCTTTGTTCTAGGCCAGGGGAGCATGGAACTCCGCCCAAAAAATCCAAACCCTAATACCCACAAGCTCCTTCGTTTCTGATGGTGGCGGCATGTGAGGTCTCCGTCCTTTTTGTCCTCTTTTATGTCCATGCCCGCACAGCTTAATTCTACGCACAAGATTAAGGATTCACCTAGCTAGATTATTTGTACCTAACCAAAATACTGGTGTTTGTCTTTCGCCAGACACCTTTTAACCCTGGACCAAAACAAAGGCTTGGGACAGGAGAGTACCATATATATATATATATATATATATATATATATATATATATATATATATATATATATATATATATATATATATATATATATATATATATATATATATATATATATATATATAGTAGAGAAGTTGAGCGGGCATGTCCGTGATGAGCCATACGAAATCGCGCGTACTATCGTAGGTACTGCTCCGCGATGCAGGAGACCACCCAGATATACATATGTTTTTCAACACGCATTGCCTGGCTGACCACGTGTCCCTACAGTGCACCCCCCAGTATCCGCCCTAGCTATCTGCATCGATCGACCCCAATAATGCCTTCATCATTCCCTTCCTAACTCCTCTCCGTACCGCGCACACCAACGCCACGCAGCTACCTCTAGGGCTCTCTCCTAGCCCAAAGCTTCTGCAGTGACGCAACAGTGGCCGGTCGTCAGCGACGCCATTGCTCTGAATGCTGTGTGGCTCATGCCCTCACCCGGCCTCTCTCCCTGCGAAGTCACTGCCATAAACAAACAAAAACCAACACACACACACGATATGTCCTAGCAAACACAACACCTAAAAGCTTCACTCTCTGTCCACACACACACACGGCCCCTTTCACCATCTCTAGCTTTTTCATCGATCTGTTTTTTCGACCTTGGCTTTCCTTCCCCTTTTAAAGCTTTGATGCACACACCACACCGGCCAGTCGAAATAGATCGACACACTCCACCTGTTGATGTGAAGATCTGTTTCATTTCCAGTGTAGTCTCACATGTGAGAGGAACGGATCGAGCAAGCGAACTGAAGAAGATGATGATGAAGAAGCAGTAGCAGTGGCAGTACCGCTAGAACTAGCTAGATCTCCTCTCTTACTAGCTACAAGCTTGTACAAACAGTGCACCACAGATGTTACCTTACCCTAACCCTCACCATTTCGGCGTCTCCCAAGAACCCCCACACCCAAACCCTACCGGCTTCCCCATGCTTCCGCCGGGCGCGCATCTGGAGCAGCAGCGCTACGTGGACCATCACTTCTTCCCCGGCCACGGCCACTTCAACTCCGAGACACTGGAGGCGGTGCTGAGGCCGACGCGCGCTGCTCCAGAGTGCGAGGCCGTAGTGGCGGCGGCGCAGGGTGGAAGAAGAAACGGTGTGCCTGCTGCCGCCGCCGGCCAGGGCCAGGACCACGCCCCGGCGCGGAAGCGGCCGTTCCGGACGGACAGGCACAGCAAGATCCAGACGGCGCAGGGCGTGCGCGACCGCCGGATGCGGCTGTCCCTCGACGTCGCGCGCGACTTCTTCGCGCTGCAGGACCGGCTCGGCTTCGATAAGGCCAGCAAGACGGTGGACTGGCTGCTCACCCAGTCCAAGCCGGCCATCGAACGGCTCGACGCCACCGAGCCCTCCCAGCGAAGCGTGGGCGGCAGCGACGACGCAGCTTTGTCACCCCCGACGTCAGGGGCGGCTGATGGATCAGGTAAGAGGGGAGGAGTTGCCGAGAAGTTGGGCTCCAGGAGTGGGGGATCAGCGTCCATGGAGATGGAGCACACCTGCGAGCTGGACCGCCTCGTGTCGGCCGCACCAGTGCTTGGTGAGTACTACTACGGCCTCAGCGAAGTGATGAGCAACGACAACGGGGGAGATGGCGACGACGATGGTGAGTACGAGGAAGACGGTGATTTCCTGGACGGTATGCAATATTAGTATGTACTAGCAGCTTTGCATGGTTTGTACGTATGTAGTACTAGTAGCTGCTGGCAGCTTACCTAGCTAGCTAGCTCTTTCTTTATCTGGCAAGCACTTCTTCACTATCGTTAGTTCCTACTTCCTAGTATTCATGTGAACTCCTTTAAGTTAATGCTACTGGCAAATGCTGTGTCAGATGTTACTCTTGTGCTTTGATGTTACTAGCTATCTGTTATTATAAATGTGCTCCGCTTGCTTTCGATTTTTAACTTGGGCATTCTTTTGGGCTTTTTTTATGGGGGTCAAGATACACTAGATAGGAAAGAAGGTTGCTTGTTTGACTAGATAATTTCATGAGTTGTGTCAATGCATATATAGACACACTAAATTATTTAAGGTCTTACCCAAATGTCTTTCTCCATTGGTGATGTTGAAAGATTCCATTCACGGTCAAACATATGGGTGTTATTAGGGAAATTTTGAAAACTAAAAGTTTCTTAACTTAGATTGTGTTTCCCTGTTGCGTGTCAAAAACATTTCCTAATTTGTTTGTGTAAAAATAAAATCTCGTATCCTTCTTATATTAGTGATAGCATTGACTTACTCATCTCATGTATCTTTCTAGTATAGTTGCGATAGTTAGCAGGGTGCATTTGTTGATTTGGATGATGGGTTCAAAGAAAATGTTAAGCAAGGCCATAAGATTTTTGAAATAAAAACACATGATAATTCAACGGATAAGAAAAATATGTTACAATCTTTTTTAGTAATTCTAATTTCATAAAGTTATTATTAAAATACTTCTGTTCTGGTCTAGCTTGTTGGGTTTTAATTTCATTGGTTGACATGGCAATTCTTAGGTGAAAAGGCAATGAGGAGTACATCAAACTTCAGCTACATAACATGGCACCAAAGAATGTCGTGTATGCTTATAGGCTCCATCCTAAATACAATTAAAAAACCAATGGCAACAAAATTGCAGCCAGCAAATTACTTCTCCAATTTAGAATCAAGATTCCGTAAATAGATCAAACTTTCACCAAAGGCTCAGGTTGTTGGTGGAATAATTTGGTTTTGTTTTGTAGGTATATTTCACCTGAACCATGCACATTATACCTGTTCAAAATACTAGCTGTTATTGAAAAGTGAAATAACAAAAATTCTAAAATTTATTTTCTTAGTTATTTCATCTTTATTTTGGAGCAACATCTTTGTTTGAAGTTGTTTTGAGGTTGAAAGTTCATGAAATATAGCTGGTCTTTAGTTAGCTAACGATGGCTTTTATGTCATCACAAACTATAATTTTTGTAAAAGGCTCTTGATTCATAATAGATGTAATTAAATTTATATTATCGAAAGTTGCATAACATGGTAACATATAACCTTTCCAACATTACCCATACAAATTAATGGCATGAGAAACTAGTTGAATAGCAAAAGGGAAGTTAGATTCGATGACTAGTTCTCAGAATACATATATTTGTACTTGTATATAAATATTATGCGCTGAAATATGCAAAAAGCCAAAACATTTCCATTATGCAAAAAGCCGAAACATTACAGTAGTTTTTTTATACCATCGGGTCGCATATTATACAAGTTTATTAGTAGGTTTAATAAATTATAAATATATTACATAAGAAGCAGGTTCAGTTACATTTTGGAGATAGTCTTGGTGACAAAAGAATATTGCTCTTTATACATCATTGTAAAAAAACAACAGTGAATATTCATATGGGTTTAGGGGGTAATGCAATCGATGACAATGAAGAGCATCTCTAGTAGATGCATGTATTATGTATGCAATATGTGAAATTAGCCAAGTAATAATGATATTCTATCAGTCCTAATGAAAAAATTTAACCTCTACTAGGCTAATGTCCATCAGATTCTATTAACAAGTCCAATGCACTTGATAAAACTAAAGGTTCAAAGAATTACCCTGTAGTTGATTTCTGATCTATTTTTCCAAGTATGAGACAGAATGATTGTGATTTTAATCTTTTTAGGTATAAATTTGATTCTCATTTTTTTCCTAAAGATTTTTTTTTCACTTTTATATAAATATGCAAAGTATCAAAGTCACACAAATGAACAATTCATATATCTGCATGACCAACCTCTTGGTTAACTGTAAAATATAACTTGGCAAAAAGAATTATTGCCCTAGGTCTAAATTGTTTTGAATTCTTGAAAACATTCTTGAAACACAAAGCTTTAGATTTTACACTTGTTTCATTCACAATCATGCAAGTATCTGGATAAAAGAACATACACTAATAATCAAAAGGCACACCTGTAAAGATGTGTGTGCCCTTTTCATTAAGAATCTATGGCATGCATGCATGCATGATTTTCACTTGGTATTTGTTTTTGCCTTTGTTATGTTTTCTATACCAGTTGTAAATAAATTAGTATCAACTACACTACTATACTGCATATTGTTGAAGCAATGAAGCCACATATGCATTTTCTGTAAAAGGAGTGCAGCACGCATGTAGTGTTTTGTTCTACTTTCTCCCGTCATTAATTCATGTAGTGTAACAGAGATAATGCATGTAGCACTTTTATTTATGAACTAGCACAGATTTTCATTTATTTACAATATATATATGTGTGACATTGTGACTGATCTCAGTGGGTGCATCAACATAGCTACCGTGAGTGGTGAATGGTACTATATATAAGAGAGAGAGAGAGAGAGAGAGAGAGAGAGAGAGAGAGAGAGAGAGAGAGAGATGCATCATCGATCGTCTGATTCACCACATAAGAATCTGTCAATGCTACTAGCTAGCTAGCTATAGGTACTTGTAATATAATGGTTGTGGCATCGAGAGGATCACCTTATTATTAGTAGTTTACATGAATTTGGTGGCTCACGCGGGCAGCACGTTGTATAGCACACCAAATTGATGCACGCACGTCACACAACGGCCAACAGTAGTGACACTCGCGCAGCACCAGCTATCCATATAACATATAATATATATAGCCTGTTACTACGACGTTCGTACGTACGACAACAAGCTAAGAGATTTTGTATGTGGTCAATACTAGACACCTAGTAGGCCGGTGTGCAGCAGGTAGCTAGCCCAATAGGTGTAGAGGCGGCTAGCTCTACATGATATTGATTTGATCGGTTTGCGGCCAAAGTACTGTTGCAGTACGCTCTTCCCGTATAGCACACGCACGCATACCGCATACTGCATACAGATACAGTGGATATATCCATCGCGATCTCGACCGGCCGGGGAAATTGAACTGTCGTTGCATTGTTTGCACATCATCACCACTGAGCTAGAGAAAAGCAGCTAGCAGTTTGCTTGATTCGTGGCGAGCGAGGGGGCAGTGCTAGGCAGCTGTGGCCTGGGCGTGTGATCGAGCCGCGTGATGCGCAGTGCGTGCGTGGTGGATCGCCTTTGGGTAAGGGAAAAAGCCCGGTCTCCAGCCGACGACGACGCGCTTCTAGGTAGGGAGCGCGGCCGCCCTTGCACAGCACTGAACGGCTGAGGGGAAGAGGATGTACGTGCTCGTGCTGTGCTGTGTCGTGTCGGCGCGCGGCCGGCCTAGCTATATAACAGCCGCGGGATGGATCGAGCAACGACCGTAGCATAGCTAGGGCACCATGACGATCCAACATGGCGACGTGCGCAGGCTCGGCCCCGTGTCTTCAGCAGCTAGCTAGCTACCCAGCTACCGGTCTCTGCTCTTCTCCTGCACGTATGTAGCTTGTCCGATCTTCCTGCAGCTGACGATCGCGAGCGGTCAAAGTGTGTTGACCCCGACAAGCAAGACACATAATCTGTCAGCATTTTTCGAACAAGTGTCACGAAATCTGAGACCCACCTTTCACAGGCCCAATCTGTCCTGCCTCACGCGGGCCACGGCTTGCCGCAAGCCCGCAATGCGCGCGGCCCGTGTTGTCCTCTCCTGCCTGGCCTTCTGACTCCTCCAGCTCCAGGCGGACCTTGGGCCACGGTTACCTCGCACGCAGGCAGGCCGGAGTTTCCCTGGTGGCCTGGTGGCGATGGGCGTGTGGTGTGGCCGGCGGGCAGCCAGGCCGGGGGTTTCCCTCCCTCGCCCAATGGGCCGGACATCACTTCTCCTCGATCTCGCGTAACCTGGCCGCGACCGCCGAGCCGAGCGTCACCTTTCCTTGTCACGGCACACGGCAGGCAGCAAGCAAAACATTCTCCGGCGACGGGCCCCACCGGATCCAGCGCCGCTGCAAAGCGGGATGCCCTGACGTGAAACCATCTTGACTTGCACGCACGCGCGCACGTATGGGACGGGAGGAAATCCACTCCACCGGCCTCTGCTGATTCGCCCGTCCTTTTCCCTGCATCATCTCATCCCCCCGTGCTATCGTGCGGTGCGATTACCTGTCGTTGAACGGCGGCGCACCAGCGCTCGTTCCTTCAAGCTCGACTGCAACTACCACTCATGTACGTAATAAGATAAATATATATTCCTTGACGATACTTGCGTGACGTGACACTTTTTAACCTCTTTTTGACCGTTTACATTCACATGCGCATGGATACATGTTCATACATGCAACCGAAAAACTGTTGCAACACCTCCACCTGTATCGCCCACAGTAGAGCTGTGCTGCGAGGCCGGTCACAGGGGTACGGACTAGGGAGGCCAGTGCAGTACAGTGCGCTGATGGTCCTCCACAGGCATCACGCGCCGCCGAGTCGCTGAGACCGCCTGATCGAGAGCTCGCTCGCTCACCCAGCCTATCTATGGCTATCTGTCCGCAGCGGTAACTAGGCTACTTTGGCACTTCGTTATCGTGGGGGGCTTCTGATTTTTGTCCGCATGCTGTCCTCTCGCAGCACATGGCTGGAAGGTCGCCAGGGAACATCAGGAGCAGGGAGCCTGATAAGAGGTTTTGAAGCATTAAAAAAAACACCCTAGGAGTAGTTTGAAACAAACGGACCAGTCAATGGACATCTTTTATCAGAATTAGTATAGTCTTGGTTGTGGCGCACATGCCAAGCGAACAAGGTTTTACACTTCTCATTAACGGATATCTTTTATCAGAAATAGTATGGTCTTTGGTTGGTGGCCCACGTACCAAGCGAAGAAGGTTTTGCACTTCCCATGAATATACCGTCGATAGGTAATACTTTTTGATTCCAAGTTTTCCGTCCATCCATCACATCAAATCTTTGAACACATGCATGCAGTATTCAATATAGATAAAAAATAACTAATTATACAGCCCATCAGAAATTATGAGACCTTTCGATCCTAGTTATCCCATCCTATCCACAAAAGTCATCCAAATCTCTTCCCAACCATCATCTAAAAAGGCTATGTAATACTTCACACATCCATCTCAAAAAAAGTGGGCACCGCCATGTCACCCCTCTTATCCTATCCTATCCACTCATCCACTCTCTTCTCGAAAAGGCTTTCCAGTCACACAATTTCTCAAAAAAAAAAAATCACCGCAGTGTCATGACCATGCTCCTTCTCGTGCCGCCGGCGCTCAGCCACATGTCTCGCCCTCCTCCACTTGTCTTCCTCCCTCTCCATCGCACCTCCTACATGGCGCGGCCGCCCGTCTTCCTCCTGGCCTTTGTGTCGTCCTCGCCTTGTTCTAGTGCCTGATGTGGATGCCTCTCCATCTGCTTCCTCCTCCACCCCATGGCACGGCCCTCCGCCCGACGGCACATAGTAGATGAACTCCTCTGCCACGGCCATACGTAGTCGCGCGTCACTACTGTTTCTTATGGCATAGTGCTGTGCTAGCTGCCTTGATGTGCCTCCAGCCTCCTCCTCGCGTAGACGTCCTTCATGTCGCCCGTGCTGATGGTCAGCCTGCTTGTGGATGATCTTGAACGACATCGGCATGGTGGCTTGGCACAGCCGGGGTGCGCGTAGTTGCGCTCCCTCCGTACGGCAAGCAGCAAGAAGATGTTGCGCTGAAACTCTATGTTGCAAGAGTATGTTTTAATTGTTTCATAAGTTTTAGAGGTATGTTGCAAGTGTTTCATATGGATGTTGCAAAAGTAGATTATGATGTTGCATATGTTGCAATGGCTATACACGCATGTTGCAAGCGTCTAGTTCAAATGTTTCATCCGTTTCTCAGACGTATGTTTCCAGCGTTTTATCTGGATGTTGCATATGTTTCACGCATATGTTGCAAGTGTTTTATCTGCATGTTGCATATTCTTGCAACGACGTTCAAGTGTTTTCAGGTGTTTTGCAAGTGTTTTAGACATATGTTGCAAGTGTTTCAGTTGTTTTCGAATGTATGTTGCAAGTGTTTCATTTCAATATTGGAAAGTTTGATCTGGTGTTGCACATATTGTAATGGGACCCACCTGCCACCGCCGTCTGCTGTAGCTGTTGAGGCGTCGTGCATGCGGTTGCCATGTGAAGCGAGCGCAGGCGCAGACAGTCCTCACGTGCGCGATATGGAGAACATGGGCGCAGGCGGTCCCCACATGCGCGCAGGAAGCGAGCGCAGAAGCGAGCGGCGCGGGTAGGGCGACACGTCCGCATGACGTAGGCGCGGGAAATGGTTGAGGGTGCAGGAAACGGAGAGGCGCACAACACAAGCAGGTGCGAGCATCCGGACGTGCACGTCCATACAGGGCGCTAGCATCTTCAGCCCTGTTCGCTTGAGCTTATCAGCCAGAATCAGCCCTACTTTTTAGCCATGGGAATAGTATTTTTCTCTCATAACAAATCAGCCCTATAAATCAGCCGCAGCAGCTAATAAGTCCTGCCGAACAAAGATGTTTATGCATATGCCAATCATGGACCCCTACAACTGCGGTCAGATGGCAATGGAAGTTTAGGTTATCCTTGGATCTCTTTGGATTGTGGATATTACTTGGATTTTGTTTTATCATGCTAACTTCTTTTTGTTCACAAGGAATGCCAACGGAGGGGCCTCCCGGCCAGTGCCAACACTAAAGCTTTGGATATTGATGCTAGTGCTAACTTGTATCATTGCTAACTTGGATATTGTTTGTCAAACGGGACTTCATGCTCTCTCTATAACAGTTGTTCCTAAGTCAAATCATCCTTCTAGGTTTAACTAAATTTGTAAAATCTACCACATCATAAAAGGTAAATTATGGAAATACATTTTATAACGTATATCCCATGAAACTCGTTCCATATCGTAATTATTAGTATTATTATCATTTTCTACAAATTGGGTTAACCTTAGAATGGTTCACTACTAGCACAACTGAAAATCTCTTACTTCTAGATTTGGAATGGATTAGATTAGATTGCAATGGATATTAGCCTACATAATACTAGTGTCTAAAAGGTTCTTGTCTAATTTGAGGTTAATCAATTCTGATGCAAATGTCATGTCTTTGTCGTGGGACCGTGCATGTTTATCTGGTCATACTAGTTTCTAATAAATAGCTTATGGCCATTTTCATGCATATTTTTATGTCTATAGAATACTTCCCCATTGCAAGTTATATATAAATCGTTTTAGTTTTGTCCTAAGTCAAATTTGTCTAACATTGACAAGTTCCATGTATCTTCTTTATGTCTATAGTTCCTCAATTCCAAACTATAAGTTGTTTTCGTTTTGTCCTAATATAAGTTAAATTTGTCTAACATCGGCCAAGTTTTATAGTGTACCTAATGAATCTAGTTTGGTGTTATAGATGTATGTGCATTTTTATATAAACTTGGTCAAAGTGAACAAATTTGACTTGTAGATCAAAGCTAAAATGGTTTACATTTTGGAACACTTCACTCTAGAAGTGAAGAGCATTGCATTGGGAACATTTTCTTTATCTTTATTAAGTTTTCCACTATGAACCAAATTCTTTTCTTTGTGAGGTTCAAATTCATGAATATTATTATATGAAAATAGGGTGTAATTTACCTTCTCAAATATGCATAGCAGCTTATAAATAGTCTATAAGTATATAAGAAACAAACTTCAACGGATTAAAAAAAGAGCTAGGAAACTAATAACACTTCATTTCGCAAAAAGAAAGAAGAACGCTTCAAATTGACGTGCATAAATTACGAAGGAACAGAATGCATGCCACCACCAATACACACCTTCCGTTGAACCCCAGATCTTGTACACCCATGCCACATCACCTTTTTTCCCAATTCCTAGACTTCAGTAATCAGTACCGTGAGCATGACAACATGAACATACAAAGGGACACATAAAACGCTCCACCCTGAATGGCTGCCACGCACATCGTGCATGCAGACATGCACTGATGCAGCACACCATTATACCCAAAGAAACCCATAGGCGCCAAAGGCTTGAAACATGGCCAAACTTATACTAGCTATGCTAAATAACTTGCATATATGCGTTCATGCATCCATACAATGCAAAGCATAAACGCAGCTCTTGCTGGTTGATGCTGGAACGCCGTGTGTGTGCTACACCGAACACTGCTCCTGCGCGCCGTAGTTCATGCGCTGCCTCTTGATGCTCCCGCCACCACCACCAGAAGACGACGTGTCGCTGCTCGCCGTCCTGCGGTCCATGACGCCGCGCAGGGCCTCCTGGACCGACGCAATGCACTCGTGCCTCCGGTGCGAGGCAGTGCGCTCGCCGTCGCCGTGCACGGGGGCGTTAGGCGGCCGATGCCCATCCTCCTCCTCCTCGCCCTGCTGGTCCGCTCCCCTGCTGTCGGCAGTGATGAGGAGCAAGCTCCGGACGCGCCCGCCGAGCGTGGTGATCTCCGCCCGGTGCGCGCGCATCCCGAGAGCGGCGAGCGCCCGCACGATGTCCGGGATGAGGTCCGGGCGATCCTCGCAGCAGAGCGACGCGTGCACCACGAGCCGCCCGGCGCCGTCGGCCCCCGCGTCCACGGACAGTTCGTCGGCCTCCGTCGGCAGCAGCTGCTGCGCCCGCCCAGCAGCACCTCCGTCGTCGCCCCCGACGGTGGTGGCCATCATCATCGCCGAGGTCTGGCGCTTCAGCTCGTTCACGTGGTCGAGCACCTCGGCCAGCAGCGACGCTTTGTCCGTCTGCACACACGCGTGCGAATACAGGCACATACAATCACACGGGTGGATCGATTTTTAACAGTCTGCATGAACATTACTATCTCAGGGAGCATGATGATTAGTCTCGCTTAGACCCCTTCGAATAGGGTGGCGCACTCACACTAGTGAAATGATCGAGTGTGAGCGTGGAGAAAAAGGGCTTGAAAGAATTGCTGAACTCTCGCTCGCGGTGCAGCTTTTCTCGCTGCATTCACAAATGGCCTTTCGAGCTTTTACACTAGACGCGTGTAGGTGTCGTACTGCCACATATACTAGATGTATAGTGCCTGCTCTGACATGATATGTGTAACGCAAACGCATTCATGTCATGTCGCACAGGGCTTTGAAGCCGGTTTCCCCTGTAGCCCAAGCTTTCCCCTGTAGCCCAAGCAGGAACTGCTTATCAAGCGCAACACAAAAACAGCTTCAGCCGAACAGGCACGCGGGGGAAACAGGCCTCCTCGATCGGTTCTGTCGTCGTGTCAGGAGTTTAATTTGGCAACATATCACATGCGCCGTGCGTGCTGCGCCCTGCCTACTTAACAAGCCCATTATCACTAATGCCCACCACTTGTTAACACCAACATATCGTGTATAACTTTATTATATCTACCATGCAACATCTATATCTATAGTCTATAGTTGTTATATGAATATATAGTAGTACTATACTATCACTATATACTTCTAGTTTTATCCTTTCCCTTGAATGCAATACTAGTTTTTATACTAGCACTAATGCATGATGTTAGGTAGGGGGAAACCTGCCTGTAGCAAAGTAGATCCTTGAAACAGCTTCATCATGTAATGATGCGAACTAACACTTTTCTCAAAGCTATATCTAAGCTATACGTCCAAGTCAAATTGATTCAAACTAACCTTAATCTTTATTTGCCTTTCTAACAAGACCTAATCAGTCAAAATATACTCCAATATAATATAGCTAGCTATCCTTGTAGTTTTCATATGCGGGCCTTACTAGCCAATAACCAGCCATGATTCTTATATATCTCGCTGTGTTCTCGCACTGTGATCAGCTAGCACTGAACGCTATAGCTAGGCTAGGCTAGGCTCATCTATCCGTGACTGTTCCATTATATATGGATCTTCCAACTTCTTAGCCAAGTTGAGCCGTTGACGATTGCACCATTGAGAACGACGGCGATCGACGAACAAGATGCCGCCCGGTATCAAAATCACCAAAATGGTGCCGTGTTATTTCGAGGTGAATATTAAGAAGTTTAGATCGTGGAGATATATGCGTGTGTAAATATAGATATATATAGTGATCGATTGTAAGCGTGACACGAATCAATCGGATGATCTACCTTGGTGGTGTTGGGGAGAAGGCTTCTGAGCCTGGCGAGGTGGCCGTTGATCCGCTGCCGGCGGCGGCGCTCGGCCTCGCTGTGGCTCCGCGAGGCCGCCAGCGGGGCGTCCATCATCTCCCGTGCCGTCATCCGCCCCAGCTCCGCCTGAAGGCTGCCCAGCAGCCCCGACACGACCGCCTTCCCGCTCCCCTCCGCCGCGCGCTGCTGCTGCTGCACCGCATCGAAACCGAAGCCGAACACCCCTCCATGTCCGAGCCCGAGCCCGCCGACGCCGTCGCAGGCGTAAGCCCCCATGGCGGCGCCGAGGCCCGCCACCGCCGCCGGCTCGGAGAACGGCGCCGCGCCGAGCCACGGGAGCAGCTGATGCGTGGCCTCCTGCTGGCTCCCGTGCTCGACGCCTCCCTCCCACATGACTAGCTAGCTAGCTTCCGGTCGGTCTTGGAGTTCTTCTTGGCTCCGAGGTTGGTGGTGGTGGACTGGCGAAGCAGGCGAAGGTGGCTTCCGGCTGCTCTCGCTCTCGCTCTCTCGGTCAAATGGGCGTCGCCTTTTAAAGCCGTGTTCGGCTGGCTGGCTGATTGCCGGCTGACCGGTCATCTCACAAAATCACTGTATTACGTTTTATTAAAATAATATTTTTTTTTACAATAATCCGTCAGTATTTTTCAGTTGCCCTGAGCCGGGTGCTCGTGGCCACCCTGCACGGCGACGGCTTTGTGGGGGTGCCTTTTTATCGAGCCCTTTTGGCGGCCGCGCCACGGTAGTGGCCGAGACGGCGGGCCAGCCAGCCATCCAACGGCTCGTGTACGGCACTACACTAGTCAGGGGGCCCGGCCTGCTGTCTTTCTAAAGATCTTTTTTTTTTCCAAGTAGATGTTTCATGGTACTATAGTGGTATGTAGGAGTATTTTTTGAAAGGTTTTTAGTGGTAGGAGAGTATATGCTTTGCATAGAACAGGGACGTGACTAGGCATGTAGGACAAGAGTCACTTGTCATTGATTGTTGTGTACTCCGTCCTTCCCAAAATATCTATTATTTTCACTTTCCGATAAATAACTTTTATAAAATATATATTAAAAAATATTAATATTTATGGTACATAATTAGTATTATTGGAAAGATGTTTGAATCTAGTATTTTAGTAAATTTATTTGGACATATAAATATTGCACGTATTTTCTACAAATCGAGTCAAACTTTTGGCATGGAAACCAAAAGCGACAAATAATTTGGGACGGAGGGAGCATAACGTAGGGTCTGTTCGGTTCAAGGACTAGAGACTAGAGACTAAAACATGGACTAAACTTTAGCCCCCTACTCTATTTGGTTCAAGGGACTACATAGCATTAAATCTGTTGAACAAAGACCAAAACGGCCCTAGTCCAACTCATCCTTCCCCATCCCGGCGGCTCCTTCCTTGCGCCCGTCCCCGTTCACCCCTGCAGCCTGAGGCCTGTGCCCGTGATCATACCATAGTTGCTCTGTTGTGCTTCATCTCGCGGCGGACTCCTTTCAGGTGAGCGTTGGATCTCGCCGCGGTGAAGGAGGCTGCAGCGGCCTAAGGCGGCCGCGGCGCGGCGTGTAGACCGGTGAGACGGGAACGGCCAGTGTGAGCACCCGCGGGGAAGAACCTGTCGACTGCGGCCATATCCTCCTTCTCGTGGAGCGCTTGTGGGTGTGGGGCGCGGAGGTCTGTCCGTGCTCGTTTAGTTCTGGGCTTCCTCTTCCGCAGCGGCGGGGAAGAAGCGGGCGGCCAGAGGTCGCTATCACGCGGGGGAGGAGAGAGAGCCATGGCACTAGATCTCGTAGTCGTGCGAGGGAGGAGAGAGAGGGAGCTGCGCGACTCGCGAGAGAGGAGAAAGGGTGGGGCATGGATCGTCCTTTTGGGCTTGTAGTCTCCTTTAGCCACCCCAAGGGACTACTCAACTAAACCATTTTAGTTTCTCTTTTAGTCCTCCTGTTTAGCAATTTAGAGATTAAATGAGGGATTACTGTGTAGTCCCACTGAACCAAACAGGCAGAACTAGTAGCTCAATAGTACATATTCAAGCCTTTTTGAAACACGGGATCTATATAAACTTTCATATAAATCTATTTATTTTTACACAAAAAGGTAGGAAATAAAAAACCCACATTCCAAATGGCGCCTCCGTGTTATTGGACTTTTTTTCTTCGGAAAAAATATTCTGAAGTTTCTTTTTATGCTCTGCTTGGAATAATCTTTTTATTCGGACAGTTCAATATGAACCTTGGCAACAAAGGCGATGTGATGGCGCACATGAACACATTTTATTAGGAGGCGTGTTTTATATTTTGTGCGAACTTGACTTGCATCAGTAGTAGTGTGTTACATTTTCGATAAGGTTGCAAAAAAACACGCATTGCTTGCAACAGAACCGGTCACTAATTGTAACGGAGTAAAATAATACTTCCTCCGTTCTAAGTTATATGATGTATTGCCTTTTTTATATATATAACTTTTTCTATGTACTTAGATATAGGCCCGTTTCGTTGTTTTAAAAATAGCTTGTTCGGCTTCTTTTTTCAAATTTTAAGTGTTTTTTCTCACAACAATTCAAATTTAATGTTGTTTTTTTCAATCATTTCCAAATAAAAATTTCATACCAAATGAATCGGGCCTATCCTATATCTAAATACATAGTAAAAACAATATATTTAGAAAAGTTAAAATGTTTTATTATAGTTAGAAATGGAGGAAGTACAAAAGCTATACTCAAGCGTCTACTAAAAGTGTCTGCCATTTGCACATAGTTTTCTAAACAGAATGCCATTTGCAGGTAGTAGCTGCCATATCGTAGGAAAACGAAAATTATCTTGTGCGGTATGATAATAAAGTAAAAAAAAAGTGTGTCTTTTGTGTCCGTTTGACGCTACAGTCCCTATACGAAAGCCCTCATCCAGTTCTGTTTTAGTGTACAAGTTCAACGAAAAGATGTGTCGTAGGTGTTTCGCAAAAAAAAAAAGGTACTGATACTGTTAGGTACTCCTACAGTATAGACTACTGTAACTGTAATAGTAGAACTTTTTTTTTTACTGAAATTGCTATTTACGGCGCCGCACGGCTGAGCAGAGGTTGGAGGCTTGGAGCAGGTGCGTATATCAGGTTGAGAAACGGAAGGCGAGCCTGCGATTTGACAAATCAAGGGGGCAGTTCGAAACCTCCGTGAATCCGTGATGCCTCGGCGCGGCCGTGGACCCAACCCAACCCAAGCAGGCAACCACGCATACCCAACCCAACCGCGCCGAGCGAGCATAAAGCCGACCAACGCTGCGGAGCAGTCAATGGAAAAAGGCACTCGGCTCCGGCGTGCCGCGGCCGCAGGGAACAGCGCGGCGCTGCGTGCCCACCCGCCCGACGGAGCCCAAGCGCCTCTAGTCTAGGTGTAGCCATTCATCGGCTAGGGAAGGGAAGGGGCAGGCGGCAGGCCTAGTAGGCGCGCCGCGAGCGAGCCAGCCGAGCCGGCGGGTGCCCGGGAGCAGCAAAAGGCGCACGCCGCACGGGCCTCGTCTCGTCCCCTCCGTGCCGAAGCAGCCGAACCCAAGCCAGGAGCCATGAACCTTGCCTTGGCCGTTGTCCCCCTCGTTCGTCCGGTCCAGGTGATCGATCGCGCCCGCGGTTGGCTGGGCTGGCGCTGAGGCTGCGTGGGCGCGTGATTGTGTCCGCCCGTCGGCGCGCGGCCTTTTGACAGGCCACGCCTCCGCCTCGTGTCGCAGTTATTTCCCCGGCCCTCGCCTCGCCCCTTCTTTTTTTTTCGTGCCGTGCTGCGCGCGCGCGCGGCCCGAGACGCGACCGGATGATTGCGTCCCGCAGGCTGCCGCTGCCGCCCCCGTCACGTCCGTGCCTGGCGCGGCCCGCACGCTCTCTGAGGAATATCTGTCGCCTGCATGCCGTGTCGGGACCGGGAGCCGGCCGCCCGCGCGATCTATCTCCGTCCGTTTCCTTCTCCTCTGGTGGGTGACGCGCGGCGCGGGTGCTGGACGGAGATGGATGCCCGTCGTCTGCCCTTCTCGTCCCGGTTCGGTTGGGTTGGTTCGTTAGGCTCGTTGCCCGATACCAATAGGACGGAGAACCTGCAAAAGATCGCGCTCGCGAAAGGACGAAAAAAAAGGTGGCCGGGTCGGGCGCAGAAAGTTGGCTTTGGCTTCCCCCCGTGGCCGTGGCTGTGTGCGTTGGTCGTCCTCCTCGTGCTGCCTCCTTTCGCTCCTCTTTTTGTCCCAGCTCGTTTGCGTTGCGCCCCATCGCTGCTGCGTGGCGTAGTACAGCGTCTTGTCAGGCGATCGAACCACTGGCTCGCGACGCTGTCGAGCTTTTGCTCAGCACGTCGTGCCGGACCGGACGCCGGCTCCTCCTCGTCCTAGAGTCTCCGGATCGAGCACATTTGTCACACTGCAGCGAATCTCTCTCGACCACGCTTCTAATCTAAGGTTTAATTAACGCCATTGGTTTGGTTGGAATAGTTTACATACTCGCCTTTTCAGCTGCCCTAATGCTAATGCTAATAGTAGTGGAGGAGAACAGAGAGGTCCATGTGTACAGTATTACTGTCGTTCGTGGGCAGTGAGACGGACTGAGCTGACTGACGGATGGATCACATCGTGGAGTGCGAATCGGAGGTGGTGATGATGCCACCAGCCACCACACCGGACACCACCGCGCCGAGAGGCGAGAGCGGGTCTCGGCTCGTGCTTATAGTATGTCCCATGCGGTGCCATGGTCATGGTCGGGGGCCCGCGTGCGCTTGAGATCATCGCCACGCCATTATGACGCGAGTACCATGCGGCTTTTCCCCCTTGCTCCTCCCCGCCGGAACAAGACTTCCTAGAAAGCATGCTCGCCTTTTCCTCGGCCGAAAAAAGGAGATTGTAGCATCAGAGGAAAAAAGAATGGGTACTGCCAGTGAATACGTGAAAAACAGTTTGTAGCAACGGTTTTTTAGGGGTGGCTGACATTAGAGCAGCCCCTACAGTGACGTGCTCGGGCTCCAGCATAGCAGCCGCCCCTACAAATGGCACAGTAGGTGCGTCTGGTAATACGAGCCGCCCCTATAAATGTGTCGATTTGTAAAGGTGGCTGGTATGTAGAGGTGGCCACGTCATCCGAAATTCAATCAGGGTGGCCACGTCGCCTCAAATTCGCTTACTTGACAGGAGCGGGCCACGTCGTCCGAAATCCCCCTCCCTTCCTCATAAAAAAAACAGAACTCGCCCCATCCTATCTCTCTCGGTCTCCCGAGGCGACGGCGCCCCCAGGCGGCGCCCACCCCCTCCGTTCCCCTCGCCGGTGAGTCCGCACCGGCGGCCTCCTCCTCCCTCCGTTCCCCTCGCCAGTGAGTCTCGACAGATCTTCTCTTCCCCTCCCTCTCTCCCCTTCTCTCCCGACGCGGCAGGGCGG